TTTGGTGGACGGCAGATGGAATTTGAAGGACAGCAACATGAATGCCAAGATGCAGATGAGGAGTGTGGTGCAGAGAGACAAGATTATTTTTAAAAGGTGCAGCTTACAAATGCTGGGAAGGGGTAAACTTGTAGAATTGCCAAAATCCTGCATCCTAACATCTTCCAATAAGAAACTGAGTTTTTGCTTTTTATTTTACTTTTATTGCTGAAGTATAGAATCATCCATTTATTCTGACATTTTTCTTTGCAAAAATCCATTCTCTTGACTGAAATCATATATTTTCCATGACAAATATGATCATCTCAGTCTTGTATCATATTGCTCTTTACTATATTTTCAAGGCAAACTGAACCACGGTAAGTGTACTCTTAGTATGATTTATGTCATGCTCATTACTTATGCTAGGGAGCAGAAGGTAATACAACAATCACATTATCCTTTGTCTTTATTTTATCTCATTTTAAACCATAATATAAAAGATTAAAACATGGGCTCATTCAGTTCAATGTAGATCACCGATTTTAACAGGAGAAATACATTCTCCGATGGATGAAGATCAAATCAGTATTAAAAAACAAACTACATAAAGATAGAAACATTTAAATTTTACGCTCACGCTACACCACTTAGTCAGTATTAAATAGAGGTTTCATGCTTTCTGTGGTAAGGCAGGTTTCTAAAATATCATGGGAGCAATTTTTCCCTTAATTACATCTCCTTACTACAGAGAGTAATTTAATTTGTTACAGAAGCTGCAGCTGCTTTTAACTTAATTCTACAACCATTTCAGGAAGGTAGAGGAAGATGATATAAAAAACCAAACTGCAATAAACTAGAGAATGTACAAAGCTGCTGCAAAATTTGCACAAAAAGAATCTATGATCTCCCCTTAAGACTCTGTGATTAAATTAATAGGATGGTTAGGGGAATCATTTCCAAATAACTGGATTTGGAACATGTCAAGTGCAACTGCAGAAGTTGACATTTAGGACATTGTCTTTTTACAGATAGAAACAGAAGGGGGAACCAAACTCACATCAGGGAGGTGACTGTGTCTTCATTCTTTGTAAGGTACCTAACACAATGACTGGGGCCTTTGGGAGCTACCACAATAACATTAAACAATAGTAAGTTGTTACTGGAAAAGATAGCTAATCAATTCCTTTGGACTGAATGAATCTCCATTTCCATTTTGCAACATAAACACTTTCTAATGGAGGTTTTCCTGAGCTTGGCCCAAAATTCCCTGCCCTTAACTGCTGTAGAGCTTGCCGTGAAATGGTTTTCTGCCTGGCTGCCACCTTCAGAGCTTCATTTACAATGTATTATAGGCAGTGCAGGTAGAGACACCAACGGTAGGGTTGCCCGACACCTCCCATTACTTCCCAACTCCCCTTGTTTCAATTCCTTATAACTTTGCCAAACTTTAATTGTTTGGGCAGACACTTCCCATGCCAGATGTCTACTTCAGGCTGACTGATATATTTATTAACTTCAGCTAAACTAGTTCAAACATTTTTCAGAACGAAGTGAAAAGAAATTATGTCAATTTACTCATGTTAAAAAATTATTACAACATTTTATTAAGAAACTCTAGTGCTCCATGCTTTGGGGCACGGTCTTAACATTTTTCAAGAAGGGGGTGCCACCGTGGTGTCAGAGCCTTTTGCTGTCTCCACGATAATTTGCCCAAATTTGGACAAGCATGAGATTCTGAAAATCTCAGTTCACATATACCCAATAGAAAGTTGTTTGAGTTTGGTGGCTAATCTCTTCAAGGATTATATCTGTACTAAGTATGTTCCATCCTAGAGCTACGGGGCTGAGCAGGCCTTTCCTGCAATTTCTCCTCTGGGCAGCCATAGGCCACTGTTGTACCGAGCACAGGAACTGAGAAAAAGGAGATTGTCTCTCCTGGATTTACAATATTCCCTCTGTTGGTACTCAGGCAAAGAGGAGGAGACAGAGAAGATAGCCTCACTGGAATGCCAAGGATTAGGAGCTAGGCCTAGGCAAGGAATTTAGGAGGGGAGACAAGGATACTGTCTTGAACTGTCACAAGGATAGGCTGGAGAGGCTGGGGCCGAAAAGATCAGGTCTGGGGGGAAGGAAAGTAGAGGGTAAGTGTAGAAGATCTATTACCACTAGAATTCACTCCCCCCATAGAATATAAACTCAGGATTCCCGAGTCTCACCCTTCCTCTGCTATCAGCAAATACTGTGAAACCACTGGCAAAATTCATGCCTTATCTCCTTTTAGTGATTGTCCACAAAGAAGATGACAGCCTTCCAAAAAACAACTAGATACATTGATGGAGTATAGGTCCATCAGTGGCTATTAGCCAGGATGGGCACGGATGGTGTCCCTAGCCTCTGTTAGCCAGAAGCTGGGAATGGGAGACAGGAGATGGATCACTTGATGATTACCTTTTCTGTTCATTTTCTCTGGGGCACCTGGCATGGGTCACTGTCAGAAGACAGGATACTGGGCTAGATGGACTTTTGGTCTGACCCAGTATGGCCGTTCTTATGTTCTACTACTATCACTCTTTTAGCTCAAGAGGCAAAAATCTGTGCTTTGGACCTAAAGGTTTCGCTAATACTATTGATGAACCATCTGGAAGTTAATATGGTTCCACATGATGGAATTTATGGCACTGAATGAGACAGATATCCTACTTATTTCTACATATGTGATGAAGTGCTACTGCCACAATTGGGTTCATTCTTTCTACGTGTCATGGACAGATCAGGGCCGTGAATTTTTTTTTATTGCCCCTGACCTGTCCATGACTTTTACTAAAAATACCCATGGCTAAATCTTAGTCTTAATTATTGGCAGTAAAATAGGAAATCACAAAAGCCAAGAAGGAAGTTTTCTTCCAGAACAACTTTGAAAGAGAGATGTAATTTACTAGTTACATTCCTAGAAAACAACTTTTAAATAAGACACTGCTTCTGGCCCAGATTTTCTATTTTAACTGAGTAGTTAGCTCTTGTTTTACATGTATATGTTCAAAGAACTTCCAGTAGTTACAAAACAAAACACTTATCAATAGCAGAGAAAAACCTTTAAACTCACTAGAATACAGCAGTACTTAGCCTTGAAGAACCAACTTTGTTATCAAATGGAGGAATGAAATATTGAGGACCTGACTTCCTGACTTGAGTTGACAATGTTTGCATTATGAACTTGCATCATCACAGCTCAACATTTTAACACACAGATAAAAAAAATCAGAATGCAATATCTGGACATTATGGCATGATTATATCGTGGATGTCTATGGAGCAGCAACCACCATGCCATAACATATGTTGACTTTTATTATCGTATTTTATTAGATTTTAAAAAATAATACAACTCTAAATTTTTGGAGAATTTTTTTTTACTATCTCCAGATTATTTGTGAAATATATTTAAGAAAACCTATACAAAAATCTAGTGAAGATCAGAATAAGAATCACTATATGGCAGTGAAGAGACTATGTCAACACACAGGATATTCTGCTTAAAGAAAATGCAACTCAGTTTTATTAGTAGTCGTTTTGTAGGTACAACAAGAACTACTTGCTATTTAACCTAAAGACACAAGTGATTGATTAGTGCAAATAAAAACTAATATGCATTTTCCTTGCTGATGCTGTATCATCATTACAGTATGCATTATACCATCAGAAAAGCCTGAAAATAGACTACATTTCACTAAAGAACTACTTCAGTTATACTGCAGGGCACTACAATGAAAAACGAAGGCAACAAATGCGTTTTCATAAGAGAAACAATTTTGTGTGAACTGCTTGCAACAGAAAATATAGTATTTCTCTTAATTTTCCTGAAAATACTACCATTGGTGGATGTATGTTTTTGAACTCAGAGAATCATAAGAATTTGTTTCATTTCAAATTTACAAGTCAGAAAAACAACCGTAAACACCAGACACACAGAAAAAGACAAAAGCTTATGAAAATTAAAAACCACTTGCTCACCTTTAAAACAGCTGCAGCCACTCTGTTGGTCTCCCCTGCTCTTTGTTTTCATTGCAATGTCCAGCATTATGACTGAAGGAATAGAGTACAGCAGAACCTCGCTAATTTACTTTGCTAATCCACACACCTCAGAATTTGCACACACAAAAATAGCTATTTTGCCCCACCTCTCAGCCAAGATTGATTTGTAAATGCTATTGAGAATGTTCCTATTACTCAACTTCATTACATGTACAAAATATACTACAGAATATTGACTACTATATTATTCAATATTACCATAAACATTAAAACAAAAAACTAGTTAAACATATAAACGACATTTTAGGATGTATCGTCGTACATTGTGTTCACTTACTTCCCTATTTGCAAACTTCAGGAATTCACAATGGACTCCCTCCCTATCAACAGTGAATTAGGGAGGCTCTACTGTACTTATTGCAATGTTCTTATTCAGATCCCTGTATCTATGATCCTCTCTAACTCATAGTCATTCCCCAATTCCTAATTCGTATTTGAAAATTACTGTATTTCTTATGGCAATATTAAACTAAACTTAGCTATATTCTGTTTCATTCTACCATTCTACCCAATTCTTTCCTCTCCAAACTACTGTATGTTTTCAATGTACTGTTTGAGTTTTTCACCTCTATATTATTTTCTGTAATTTATTTACTATGAAAAGTTTAGCTTTGATGTAACATCCATTATTCAGCAAGGTTCTGCTTTTTGCCTAATTTTCCAGCTGGATAGATTGATTGATATACAAGACATTCAAGTACTGCCCAAGGGCACACAATAAATCTATGTCTTAGGCCAAAGAAAGAACCCATGATTCTTCCTGGCTTCCTGTCCTTTGCACTTCCCACTAGATCATATGGCATCTCTGTTCTGGAATGGAGTGAACCAAATTTAGATACTGTATCAATTCAGTCTCCAGAAAGATTTTGGTATAGTATCACAACAAATTAATAATCATTTACAATAATTGTGAAAAAAATTCTTACCGGTCTGACATCCCCACATGAGTTTGTAAACTGTCGTGCCAAGCCAAAATCCAGCATGTAACACTTCCTACACGTGCTAGGGAAACGTCCCATAGCAAAGTTTGACTAGAAAAAGAAACAAAAAAGTATACATCATTAATATACACATATTGATGTATGTCATTTTCCATTATTCTATCCTTCCGTCTATATTTTCACTTCTGCCCATGTTCTATTAACTTTGGAGAAACAAACACATTATACTGGCACTGTATTTGCCAAGAGAGGGATGCAGAATGCTCCCTCCTCTTTTCTGGCTGCCTAGAAAAAATCTTCAAAGAAAAATGGGTTGGAGGGAGAGAGTGTGGATTTGTGAAGGCAATACATTCTGAAAACTTCAGTTAGAGTTCATTTTCATTTTCTTGTTCATCATCTGCCTCCACAGATCCTAATTCTTGGGTTTTGTCTACATAGTCTTTTTTCCTAAAATTTCTCAATACTGCACTGGTTCAGCTCCTCTGCTGTCAGCAACATTTCTAATATAACAGTCTGCCTATCACTTTTGTTTTAACCATGTGACCTAGATTTGTTCAACAAGCTTTAAAAATTATCAGTGGGAAAAACAGGGCTAGGCCAAAGAGCTGAAGAAAGAGTCTGTGCACTAAGTAAAACCCCTGTACAAGTGGGAGAATTCACCATATTGGAAATTTGGCACTGATGACTGTGGAAAAGCTATTGTTGATTTCTTATTCTCTACTGCCTGGTACTTCACGTACCCAGTTTGGATGAAACCAATGAATCCAACAGTAGCCCTGGTCTTTATAACTTTGGCCAAGATATCATCCATCTTGGAGCAAAGCAGATGAAGTTCTAAAAGAAAGAGACTGAACTCCTGTATCTCTGGAAAGAGAAACAAGTCACAACAAATAATGCCAGAGGCAGAGCACAAGTTTATAGATGGATCAGAGAAAGTTAGTATAATAGAGTCATTAGACAATTCTGACTCTTATAAGTTAGCTGCCTAAGTTGTCATAATTCACTGGCAAATGTTCTGGTGGCATAACTAATTACCAGACCTAGTAATTTGCCATTCGTGAAAAAAACCAAAGGAAAAAAGTGTCCTTTTAGCTATTAAGCAGTCTAATATTCTATATTGTTTATTAGGGGCAGCAAGGTGGAAAGTCCTTAGAATTCCAAATTTATCATTTCCTGGTCTCACTTCCAAAGAATTTGGAAGAGTCAATAAAAGAACATTAAAGACCTGCACAGGGAAGCACTTTAATCATAGATTGGACTGTTGCCAAGTGAGTCTGTAACATATCGACAGAGTTTAAAACGATAGGAGACCTGCCTTCTAGTCTATGTCAGATATAAAGTTGTTAACTGGTTGCAAGCCTTCTTCTGAATGAAGAAAGAGGATCATTTAAAGCATCTGAGAGCTGACAAATTGTCACTTGTAAGATTTTACATCATCCATCGGAGATGAACAGATGAAACAAAAATTTGCTGTTCAGGAATGGCAGGACTTGTCAAGTTCACCTTCCAACTCAAATCTAGACAGAGAATCTGAGATACTATCACTCTGGAAATGAACAAAAGCGTGACATTAATTTAGAAGAATACCCTCCATTCAGTGTTTCAGAAAAGACTCTTTAATGTGAATTAACTTAAGTGGTTCTGTAAACAGAAGGAACCACAGTCCACAGATGTTATAATGAAGATCCACATGGGCCATGGCCAACTTAGAAAGGCTGAGATAAGCTTACAACCTGTCTCCCTCCATGCAGGACAGATACAAACAGGGACAATTGGGAACATATACATTTCCCGATGGTGAATTTAGACTGTCATTATTTTTGTACACCAAAGGACTGCACCGAGAAAGGATTGCCATTGAGATCAGAGGAAAAAATAGATAAGGAATACTACGGTCAAGGAAGATTACTTGGATAGTCTTGATAAATCAGACTTGGATGCTAGCAGAAATTCCACAGCAGAATTTGGCTTTGAGATGTGTCAAAGACAGTACCAAAAACTTGCATTGTAAGAGCTGTACAGAGAGGGCATGGACATTTATAAAATCCATTTGACAAGATAACTAAGATTTCATAACTTTGTTCTTCTCTTTTTCTGTGCCTTGTCAGATTGCTCATCCACAAGTGCACATATAGATTCCCTGAGTATCAAGACTTTTGAAGTGAGGCTAAGATTGGAAGTCTTGGCATCAAGGCATTTACAGGGAACTAGACATTTGTTTCTGGCTTGCCATGAGAAGCAAGCAAAGAATATGGCCCATCACTTTTTACAGTGCTTAAAACTTGATTTTTTTTAACCATTTCAAAGCCAACCATTTTGAAACAAGTTTTTAGGCCTATAAGTTCTGTCAGGAAAAACACAAACACAAAGCCTAAATGACAAATTTAACTATCAATTTTCTAAAACCTACAAAAAGCATTTCTGCTGAATAAACTTGAAAAAACTAAAAATATTAAAAACATACAGCAGTTTCAGGTCCAATGGGTAGATGAAAAAAATAAAAATAAAAAAGGAGCAGAAATATGTGTGTTCTGCAGTATTCTCTTTATGCAGAGATAGTTTCAAAGCCCTCCCATTCATGTCTACAGGCCTGTAACCACCACTGGACTTACTGCTTCTGGAATGCTGAAGGTCTGAGCTCAGGGCATTTTTCTCCAGTAAATAATGTGGACTTTTACCTGTAGGTAAAGAATACTCCAAGTCAAAAGTCCATCTTATCCCTAGAAAGCGATTTAACCCTTTCATCCAGATGTGCTGTTGTGTTATGTAACACCTCTCTTAGAAGGAAGGAATAGTTCTAATATAATTTGTGGTTCTCTCTGTTGCTCCTGCTCCTGTCCTGGCTCAATATTTAAGTTCCCAATCACTTTCCCCCACCAGCAACATCTTCCACCTCCCTGTGGTTTGTACACTTCCTCAACTCCACTGGCTTCATCCAAACTCTTCTCCCTACAGTTACCAGGCTGCCTCCATCCATCCCTTGCCCTCCCATCATGCACATATCATCACCTTCCGCTTCTAGCCTACTTCACAGTCTCCACACCTTTCAAGTTCGATGCTCCACTTATCTCTGTCTCAACCTATTTCCTTCCTGACTCTGGCTCCACGAACCACCCAAATGAAGTCCTGGGTGACATACCATTTAAAAAAAAATATAATGCAAGAATGAAGGATAAAAATGAAGATTTCTTAACTCACACCATCCTGTTAGCTGGGCATTATAATTAGGGCATGAAATTCAGTGTATTTTGTCAGATAACATTAAGTCAGAAGATGAAAATAATGGTGACAAAAAATAGAAGAGCTTTGCATGTATGGAATTCAATTGTACATGTTCACAGTGGAATCTGATGACATTTTTAGTGTACAGCAATATATAGCATGCATGTAACAAATGCAGTGATAATCTCAGAGGAAACCAGAAAAATAAAATACCAAAAATAAGACCTACTTCACAGCAGAAAAGTATAGTGTGTGATATTAACAAACAGATGAAAGAAAAATAATTCAGGTTCTCACTAAGTGCATGATCAAACAACACTCTACAATTTATTGGGCAATTCTTATTGGTTATCACGCTATACATTCAAAAGATAGCTCTATTTATTGTTATTTATTAAAGGTTAACAATGCATTCACTGCTCTACAATGCACAAATGTGAAGAAAGTCCCTGCATGAAGAAGCTTACAATTTTTGACATTAATAGAAAAGACAAGCCACAGTGCAATACCAAAAGAAGAGGGGCACAGGAATTTTTTGTATTTTTTTTTAAATATCCCATCCCTTCCTGTCAGTAAAGTAGCAGTGGGAATGGGGCTTACTGTGGCAAAGTGTTCATAGGCTTTATGGAACAAGTGGGTCATTAGGTGGAATGTAAGAGCCTGGTGAAGTTGGAGGTTTTTTCCCATGTTATCTCTTATGCATGGGAGAGACACAAACGTGGGAGTGCAAGAAGGGAATAAAAGAGGGCAGTGGAACTGACATCACTGACAGTTGTGAAAGGGGAGAGGATGGACACAATAAGAAATTAGATTTGATAATATAGACTGAATCTTAGTCATGCAGGACCTTGAAGGAAGGATCAGGTGAGCAAAGGGCAACAAGCCAAAGGTTTCAAATAGAGGAGAGATGTGTTCAGAGCAACAGGCAAGCTAGAGAACCTGTTACATTTTGACAAAATTTGTCAGTGATGTGGTTATCAGGGACTCCAAAGAGAAGAAGAATGCATTACTTAAAACAGAAGTGGCCAGGGTATGGACAAGTGTTTTGACTTTCAGACAAGAGAGGAAGAGTTGGATTTTCTGTATGTTGTCGAGGAAGCAAGAACACTATTTAGTGACCCTTTTCATGTGTGGGGAGGAGAAGGAGGAGTTAAAGATAACTTAGGGGTTGTGAATCTGTGTGACAGGGAGAAGGATAATAGTATTTTCTTCAGCAGTGGAGAACAGAAGAGACATAGAAGCTTTAGAAGGAACCGTAAAGAGCTCATTCCTGGCCACATTTAGAAAATATATGGAATGCGCTAAATAGCAAGGATAATACAGTCCTCTGGTTATAATTTTACAAAGAAAAAAGGCAAGTTTAAAATGATTATATGCTGGAATTCAATACTAAATGCCTGCTATTTAACCTTAATTTAGTTCATTATTAAAAAAAACACTTGCTGTTCACCTTAAAATATAGGCAATATGACAGCTTTATAGACATCTCTAGTTTTTATACTTCTCTAAAGAAAACATATACTTTGTAATTTAGAGGAATTTAATAACAAACCATAGGAGTAATAAATGGACAGATGGTCAGAGATAAACAAGACTAGAGTGCTGTCTAAAAAAACTCCACCAAAGAATATTCATAATGGTTAATGCAAAATCTACAGTTCAATAGAGGTAACTGAGAAAAAAACAAATGAAAACACTTTGTAAATTAAAATAACCTATAAGCTATAATCATACAATAAAACCTATAATAAACTATTAACATATTTAAGTAAAGTATAGCTTATTATTTATCACTTTATATTAGTCAACTGCCAGTTTGCAAGTGATGTAAGGGCAGTACTGTAGCTATCTTTTTTTGTGGTTGGAACACTTTTACATGGTATTTAAAATAATACTTTCATTAACATAATCAGGCAAATATTTAATTTTAAAGGCATTGGGACCTTCAGGAGTTAGTCTTCCCTATTAAATCCGACCATGTCCTAAATATCCTGCTTGTTCAATATATTTTATTTAAATTTGTGCATTCTTTTTGAAATTGAAAATTTAGTGTCTTTGTTGGTGAATAAGGCTTCCAAACAAAAACAAGCATAATATTACTGAATAATCAATTACCAGAACACCATAATAACTGCTGAGGAATTCCTTCAGAATTATGTACTGTATGTTGTTTTTCCCAAATAAAATTTCTGTACCTACACTTTACTAAAGCAACCAAAAGCTTTCTGTTTTTAGTGGGTTTTATCCAAAGCTCAGACTTTGATAACCTAGCATATCAGGCTGCCACCTGCACATAACAGTTTTCTTCCGTATGCAGAGATGGTTTGTATCTCTGTTATTCATACATTAGATTCCATACCACAACTTAAATTACACTGATTTAATATTATGAAATTACTATTAAAACTCTTACAAATATTTCCTATGGTTAAATTTTACTCCCTTTGATTTCTTACATTAAGAGTTTGCTTCTATAGTCCAAAAAAGTCACTAATCATATTTTATTTTGTGGTGGGAGTTACTGCTATATACCATCTCTGTAGCCGACAGATGAAAATGCTAATTGAAGATCACTTGGAAGACGACCGCCATTTATACCAGTTGCAATCTAGCATAAATTAAATAAATTTTGCACATCCATCTTGAAAGATTCACATCTAATTCTCTGCTCCTACTGACTTTTTCAAGTTAACATCTAATACACTGCCCTTTCTTCTTAATGCTGTCAACTAAGGTCCACATATTGATTTCTGGTTTTAGCTTAAGAAAGAATTTACTGGTTTAATGTCTCTGTGCAGGAATCCCACAGAGTGAATGCTCTCAATGGACTCAAGAATCTGCTTTCCCAGGCGCAGGGTGGTACTGATGGTGAAGGTCCCTCGAGACTGGCTCCGACGCAGATCTGCCAAATTCCGACCCTAATTAAAACATAAGAACATTTTTGGGAGCAGTCCCAAAAACAGTATTCACAGATAATGTTAACAAATTCTTTACTTATCTTGAACTGAGACACGGTGAGTGAGGTAATATCTTATATTGGACCAACTTCTGATGGTGAGAGAGACAAGTTTTCCAGCTTACACCTCTCTCACCAACAGAAATTTGTCTAATAAAAGATACTACCTCACCCATATTGTTTCTCTAATATCCTCAGACCAACACAGCTACAACACTGGATGCTTTTCTTAAACTGTTCACAACGGAAGTCTTAAGAAACGCATCCAAGGACTCGCCCCTCACCCATTGTACTCTTCAAGGACACCACATCTCATAGATGAATAATTTCCAAGTCCAGAAGGGACCATTATGATCAAGTAATCTGAGCTCCTGTATAACACATGCCACAGAACTTCCCCAAAATAATTCTAGAGCATATCTTTTAGAAAAGCATCCAATCTTGATTTAAAAATTCAGTGATGGAGAAGGTGTTCTAAATTTATATGCAAAATTCTCCAAATATTTCAGACATTAAATTTAGAAGCTGTTTTTGAAAATGTGACTCACTGTTTCTGATTCCAGATAACCTGAATCACACCAACTTGGATCTAGCAGAAAAGTGATTTTGACATATTTATCAGTTATGATTAGAGCTGGACAACTTTTTTGGGGAGAAATTGTAGTTTCAGTCTACCTAAAACCATTCGTAAATTTGCACTGAGTTCACAGAATAATTTTGACCAAACCAAAAAATCAAAATGTTTTGGAAATGTCAAAACAAAACATTTCATTTTGACCCAACTCAACATTTTCCATTTTAGATTTTGGACATTTTGACAAAATCAAAGGAGGACTAGATTCAAAAGCGGCTGGAGGTAGAGAATGAGGAGGTGGTCTCCTTATATCTTTTAGCCCAGTTGTTAAGGCACTCACCTGGCATGTGGGAAATGCAAGTTCAGTTCCTCTCTCTTCCTGATGTGAAGTACGGATTTGAACGTGTCTCTCCCACGTTTCAGGGGAGTGCACTACCCACTGAGCTATGTGATGTTCTGGAGTGAGTCTATGAATTTGCCACTATGAATTCAAATGGATAGTCTTGAGGCCAGGGGAAAGAAGGTGAGAATGACCCTATAATCTAGTAGTTAGGGCACTCACATAGGATATGGGAGACACAAGTTCAAGTCCATCCCCCAATGATTATTTAATTATTTATAAATTTTGGAACAGCTTCAACAGGAAAAATTGAGAAGGACCCACATCGGAATATTCCATAGCCACATAGCTAAGGGAATGTGGGAGACACAAGTTCAAATCCCTTCTCCATTTCAGAGAGAGGGTGGAATTGAACATGGCCCTTTCACATCTCAGGTGAGTGCCCTAACCACTGGGTGAACAGTCATGAGGAAAGTGGAACACCTCCTTTCCCTGCCATTTTGTGAAACTAGTTTTCCTTAGCTTTTTCAAATTCACTGAAATAGAAATGATAAAATAGAGTCAGAACAAAACACATTTTGTTTCAACTCATCTCAAAGTTTGTTTAACTTTTCAATTCGCTAAAAATTTTGTTTTCAATTCAACCTGAAACAAAAGAGATTTTTTTTAATTGTCAGCAAACCAGCTCTAGTTATGATAGAGTCTTATATCTGTTACCTTCTGAGTGTCTGGCAGCCACAGAGAATAAAAACATAACATAAGTTTTCACAGAAATCTTTATGCTCCTTTCTTTTTGAATATCCAAGTGGCTGGATGACTAGCAATGTGCATCAGAACCTACTGCTTTTTCAGGTCCTTTTTAATGTCAAGACATTTTTCCCTAAAGTCCCATGATTTTGAGTAGCATCCGTGTTAGTCTGTATTCGCAAAAAGAAAACGAGTACTTGTGGCACCTTAGAGACTAACCAATTTATTTGAGCATAAGCTTTGAGTGTTAATCCCCATTTCAATCCCTTTCTACAGGAAAGAAAGGTTAGTCACCCTTTCGTAACTGTTGTTCTTTGAGATGAAATGCATATGTCCATTACATTAGGTGCGTGAGCATCTTATGCACCAGTGCGGAAGAGTTTTCCCAAATGGTACCCCAAGGGGTGGCCACACCTGTGCTCTGGGCTCATGGCCCAAGCAAGAAGGCATAAAGGGAGGAGCCACCTTGCCTGCTCTTCAGTTCCTTCACACCAGATTCTTAGATGAACAACTGATGCATTGGGGAAGGAGGGAGGGACATGTAATGGATATATGCAACACATCTCAAATAATAACAGTTATGAAAAAGGTGAGTAACCGTTCTTTCTTCTTTGAGTGACTGCATACGTATATTACACTAGGTGACTCCCAATTTCCAATGGAGATGGGGCTAGGAGTCTTACTGGAAGAGGAACTACAAAACTGCTTTCCTACATTAGCATCTTCCCTTGGCGCAGTAGTAATCACTCAATGTCTAGCTAAGTTGTGGATTGGACTGCATTGCTGTTCTGCAAATGTCCACAATGGGATGTTACTCAAACACTGTGGGTGCTGAGTGAGCTCTGACTGAATGTGTAGACAACTTTTCTTGAGGACTAACACCCTTGGCATTGTAACACATGACAACAGAGCTAGTGATCCATTTGGACTGCCACTGCACTGTTGCAGGATGGCCCCTCATTCATTCTGCAAAGACAATAAATATAATTGGAAAGAGAACCAAAAGGGCTTTGTTCTTTCTAAATAAAAAGCCACAAAAGTTGTTTGAACATCCAGCAGGTGGAGCTTTTGTTTGTCCCTATGACCCTGTGGCTTTGGAAAGAAAACTGGTAAATACATATCCTGATTGAGATGAAAGTCAAACGCTAGTTTGGAAATGAACTTTCCATGTGGCCTAAATTGTACCTCATCCTTGAAGAAAACAGTATATAGAGGATCCATTACTAGGCCATGCAGCTTCTCCTATTCTCCTTGCAGACATGATGGCTACTAAAAAGGCCACCTTAATTGAAAGATGCCACCATGAGCAAGGGGCTTACAGTTCAAAAGGGGAACCCATGAGGGCAGATAACACTAAATTCAATCCCACTCTGGGACAAGGTCCCTAATATGTGGGAACAGTCTATTTAGAACTTTTAAGAACCTAGTAGTTACTGGATTAGCGAAAACAGTCTCTCCCCCCTCTACTTGAGACACTGTTCTTAGAATAGACCTGGTGAGGGACCACATACGATCCAAGGTGAAGGACCTCCTTAGTTTGTCCACTACACCATTCTGAACCCCCGGCAGGTGTGACGCTACAAGTATCAAGTAATTTTGTATACAGAAGTTCTGCAGCCTGACTGCCTCCTGGCACAGGTTGTTTGATCTGGAGGCCTCCTGCTTATTGATGTAGAACACCACTGTGGTGTTGTTAGCACTTGCTTAGACAGTTTTGCCACATATATGTGGTAAGAACTGGCGATACACTCTGGAGATTGCTGTTAGCTTGAGAATGTTTATGGATAGGCCTTGTCTTTGGAGTGGACCACAAGCCTTGAACCTGCATGGCTCCCAGATGCACTCATCACTCCATGTCTGAAGTGCCCGTTACCAGTTATGGAAGAAAGAGGCAGGGACAAAGGAACTCTCCTGCAAACCTTGTCTTGGCTCCTCCACCAACCCAACGAGGGTAAGATTTTGCCAGGGATACATATTAGACTGTCCAGGTGATGTACCTGAGGGTGGTATGTTTGTAACCCCCTGAGATCCAGCCTGGCATGTGGGATCACATACGTGCATGCTGCCATATGCCCCAGGAGCCTTACTGATGTATGAAGATGGCTCTTCAGGGATAGGCAGATGTTCTCATGTGGCTAGAAATCTTGAAAGCAGCAGAGAGGTCCTGGCTAGAATTGAATCTAGGACTGCTCTGATGAATTCTATCCTTTGGAGGGGTACTAGAGTTAATTCCGCAGAGCAGGAGGTATCCGGTGATTGCTGCTGGCCAGTTACCTACTAAAGGAGATCAAGATTGAGGTCTTTAAACCACGACTAAAGGACTTCAGTAGCTCAGACATAGGTTAGGGGTTTGTTACAGGAGTGGATGGGTGAGATTCTGTGGCATGCATTGTGCAGGAGGTCAGACTAGATGATCATAATGGTCCCTTCTGACCTTAAAGTCTATGATTACCAGGCCTAGGCATGAAAACTGGTGGAATGTCTGATGAATACTTTCCTATACCTGCTGACAGGAACTCCTCACAGCAGCCAGTCATCCGGTAACGATATTCCTGGATATGCCAGCAGCAGAGACACCATAGCCATGAACGTAGTGAAAACTCTCAGAGCAGATGAAATGCCGAAGGGTAGAAGTGTAAATTGAAAGTGGTCCCCTCCTACTACAAACCTTAGAAATTTCCTGTGGACATGGTGAATGGTCGTATAGATGTGGGAACATGCATTCTTCAAATGAAAGGCAGCAGACAAATCTCCCAGATCTAACAAGGGATAATAATTGTGAGGGAGACCATGTGGAATCACAACTTTTTGATGTATCTGTTTAGGTTTTGAAGGTTTAGAATGTGCCTGGGCCTTCTTTTGCTTTGGGTATTGGGAAGTATCGTGAGTACAATCCTCTTCCCTGATACTGAGGGAGTACTTCTTCTGTGGCTTCCAAAGAACATAGAGTCTGCTCCTCTCGTCTCAGAACTGGATTTGTTAGATAGTTCCTGAAAACAGACAGGGAAGGTAGGTGGGAAAGGAGGGAGAGGACAGGAATTGGAGGGTATATCCCGATTCCACTGTGCTGTAGCACCTACTTCTTGGAGATGATGGATTGCCATGCACTTAAGAAATATGACAACCGGCTCCGAAAGGGAGGAAGACAGCTTGCAAGATCTAATATTGTCAGTATGCTGTCCTTAACAGAAGATTTAAATGGGCTGTTTAGAGAGGTGTGGCTGCCTGGATGATGGGGAAGTCTCCTCCATTCCTGCCTGTATGTCCACTTATACTGATCCAGGTGTCTACGCCAACCGTACTGCTGACTTGGTGGAAGCTGAGAACAAAACTTCAGTCTTTTGGGGACTGGTGATTACAGACCCAGGGACTTAAACACTGCCCTACAGTTTTTTTAATGTATGCAGTTAATCATCTTTTTTCAAACAAAACAATCCACAGCCCTAAAAGGAGAGGTCTTTGATAGTCTGCTGGACTTCAGTGGGAATCCTGGAGCCAAGCCACACAGTGCATGGTTACCACCATTGTCATGACTCTGGCAGCTGAGTCTTGCTGCATCCAAGGAAGCTAGTATAGCAGACCTTTCAACTGCATAGCCTCCCACCCCTCTCTCAAATTCTTCTGACAAAGAGGTCAAATTTTTTGTGTCCTTGTCCTTAGGAGTCACTTTTACTCTACCATGGTAGTGCTTTTCATTTACAACTGCCACTGCTATGGAATATGAAAAGACTGCTTAGATCCCCGAGATGGAACCTGCTACTTGGGTTCTGGGTACTTTGCCACTGGCATGAGAGATAATGGAGTTTGACACAAAGTTTTATTAGGCAGCATAACTTTCTCATTTATAGGGAGACCAACTTTCCCTGACGTAGCCAGGTGTAAAATGTCTTTGAGCTTGTGTGGATTTTCTTCCACAAGCTCCATTTGTATCCCCAGGATGTAGACATCCTTTTCAGGAGCTCTTCATAGGCCTTTAAATCATCTGGTACTGAGGAAGAGGGTTCCAGTACCAGTGCTTCTTCCAGAGAGGAGGTGGAGGATGTATTCAAAGGAGGCAGGCTACAACCTTCCTGGCGCTGGTCAAGAACTGCAGATGTAGAAGGCCTGTCTAAAGCCAACAACAGGCCATTCTGATCCTCACCTCATCAGTGATGGTCAGAACCAGGATCAAGAGGCCCACTGATACCACGTGGGGAGACTTCATTGTTAAGGGATATATTTTTGTAATGTAGCAGCTGCTCTGTACCGACTTCCTTCAGTCTGTCGATATTGGGTGGAGAGGCTCACCTTCTCAAGAACTGATTTCTGTAGTGCAGCTGGGATGATTATCTAGACTCTGGAGGCATCCACCATTGTACCTAGTAGGGGCAATGGTAGGGCTTGTGCAGTACTGGAGGACAATCATGCCTAAACCAGGCCCTCAAATGCATTGGTCTGCTCTTGTCAGGACAACTCATATGAGAGGGTAACAATGACTGAAGAACATCCTGGATTCCCTGTTGTGGGAGACGTTGGAGCCCACTTCAGAGTCTGAGGAGGAATATGAGTACTCTACCAGCCAGGGAGGCAGAGTACCAAACATCATCATCAGAAATCAGGTCCAATATCTTTGACTAGACTGCAGTACCAGTGACAAACTCAGTGGCTTCCTGTCTATGCACTGAGGTGGAGTGGTTGCTGATGGTCTCAGAGCCAGCTTCACAGTAAAAGGATACGGTACTGGACACCAGCATGGGAAGCAACATGTGTACACTGTACGATAGCGCTGGCAAGACACTACTGGTCTGAATAACTGGAAAGGGCAGTACCGAAAGGCTCAGCCACACAGGCCTCCAGGGTGGTCAGTACTGAAATAAGCGTTTGCTCAGTGATGATCAACCCTCTTCCTGCACCTGCTCTGAAGAAATACCCAGCCTTCAAGGTCTCAGCTGGGGAACTGGAATCAATGGTTCTGCACTGATCGAGCCACTAGAAAGAAATACCAAGGGCAGCAAGCTGGAGGGTCCACTCTATCTTCAGTGCTGGAGTGGGTCACATCTGCAGCTAAAGAATCCCGCGCTGAAGACTTTTGACACCATTTAAACTGTTCCTTTCTTTGACTTCAGATGCTGAGAGGGCTCTGAGCACTTATGCCTCTTCAAGGAATGTCCTGGTGAAGGAGATCTCCTCCATTCCCTGCCTTCCGGTAAGGCAGGGGAGTGCTCCTGGATGGGGAGGAACTCCTTCTATCTGATCTAGGCAGTACCAATGCCAGCAAAACGGAGGCCTCAGTAAGGATATACTTGAGGCATTTTTCTCTTAACTTCTTGATTCTGCTCTTGAAGTCCTGGCAAACTGGACACATGTCCTTGATGTGACCCTCACCAAAAAACTCGAGGCAGCAAGAGCGAGGGTCGCAGTCAGTTTGCAACACCCTGAACAAAGTCTAAACCCAAGGAACCTAAGCATAGGCTCCCCCGATATCGGGCAGAGCTCTGAGTTGAGAGAGAAAAGGAAAAGGAAAAGAAAGCCCCCAAATGAGTACCATTCAGAAGCAAAACACTTACACCATGTTCACAAAGGAACAACTGGCAGCACGCTCTAACCACCGATGGTAAGAAGGAAGAGAGAGGTGGGTAGGGCAGATCCACGCTCTGCACCCTTGGTTTGAAGCACAAGGAGCTCAGGGCACAGGCATCGCCACCCCTATGGGTACTGCTAGGGAAAATTCTCTGGCACAGGTGCATGATACATCTAATATAATTGACATATACAATCAGTCAGAATAGGTCTTCTGATCCTCTGGATTGAGTCTTAACCTACACAGGAAGTTTCTTATCAATGTATTTTCATTAGAGAAGTGATCAAAAACATATATTGAAAAAACTAATCTATCCCAGAAGCAGTTCTGCACATCTTAAGCTATCTTCCAATTTCAAATAAAGTTTTCAGAAGGATGTAAACTATCTCAGAAAACATCACACCTCTCTCACTAAAATAATCAGTCTGTTCTGAAGACCTATGAGATTTCTCCTTCTTTCTGGCAGATGATGGTAACAATATGAAATATTCAGTTTACTTTGGCTCACCACCCCACCATAACAATGGCCTGTTTTCTACTATCCACCATGCTCTAAAATTTCACAGTTATTTTTTGCTATATACATGCTTGGGGAAAAAATAAATCCCTAAAATCTATTTAGTTCAACTCACCTGCAGCTGCATGACCACATAGTTAAATCTGTCATTCCTTCCACAGCCAATGAATCTACAGACATGGTCTTTCCCTGAGGGGAAAAAAAGAAACAAGTTAGCCAATAACAACTAATTTCTGTCTTTCTTGATTTACATGTCTAGTAAAATATGCAAAAATGTGCCCATGTGTTACTCTAGGTGCCTTTAACAAACTTTTAAAAAGGCATTCACACTAAAACAGCAGTGAACCCAGTGCCAGTTCTGCCTCCAGTGAAACAAAACTCCCTTCTGCTACAAACATCAGCTCCCTTAGTAGAGAGGAATGTTCTAGGTATATTTATTCCTGCCTCAGTACAGGGGAAGAACTAGATGACCTTTTCCAGACCAACATTTTATGACTATAAGTTCTGCAATATTTACTGCACTATTACCAGAACACCTGAATGTCCACTCCCCAACCCACATGCTACAGGCTTTGAACAGTGCCCCATATACTCACCATGATGTGAGCTGCTGAACTTCCTAAACCAAGCATCCCTGAAGCAAGTCAGACACAGTTCATGCTTTTATGAATATCTTTATGGGAACTTTTTAGGGAGTTTCTGACTTTTCTTTTTCTGCCCAGTAAGCCTCTAAATATAACAATAGCTTTCTCACTTGATGTTTAGCAGTGGCCTAAGCCAGGGTACCATTTTCAGGCACCCCTCCATCCATTCTGACTGACCATAATCAGGAAAAAGAAGAATGGACAGGGGAGGCATTTTCAGATCTTCTCAGGAGTTCTGAGGCCAGCTCGCAAGAGACAATGGATTGGAGGAAGAGCATGCTCGAGGAAAGGCCAAAGAAATGAGACACGCATTGAGACATACATAATGCAGTGCCTCAAACAAACTCAGATACTGAAAATCATTACAAAGTAAAATGCCCAAAGATTGACACCCTAAAGCCATTGCAATGTATAGACAATTCTATGTTCCCTGGCCATGTGCCATAAACACACAACCCAGGCAAGGCCCCACCATAGCCTACACAGAAACCCTTCCACTCAACCCCAGCAGAAAACAAGAAAAATGATATGACCTGTGATTCATACAGGAACATTCTGCACTGTGCACTTTGTAAATTTTTTTTAAATATTTCAATTGTTAATTACTGTTCAATAAAGTTGCATTTTGTGAAAATAATATTTATTTACTTTCTCTTAGAAAACATCATTTTTGATCCCCAAAAGAAGCATCTCTCCCATCCTGGGTTTTAACAGTACACGTACAATTCATATAGAAGCCAAGTAAAGTTTTTCATAAAACTACACAAAATAGCACACAGCAGCACACTTTCATGCTATGGCACACTATTCGAAGTTCATTCTCAAAGCCTTCCTCAGCCATACAGCATCTCAAAGTCCTCATGTGACTGCCCATGTGTCTGGCTGTTCAAAGTCAGCAGTCTTTCCACTTACCCCTTCCACTCTACAGGCAACATTTCCTCCTTTGCTTCACAAATATTATGTAAAATAGTCAAATGCAATATGCAGAAATAACAATAAGAATATTTGTCTCAATGAGAGCTAGCCTAGTCACAAGACATTTCCAGTGTCCTTTCAATTTACCAAATGCACATTCACCAATTATCCTGCACCTGCTTAGGTGGTAGTTAAATTTTTCCTTGCTTCTGTCCAGTTGGCCTGTGTATAGCTTCACGAGCCAGGGAAGCAGAAAGGTAGGCTGGGTCCCCAAGAATCACTATTAGCATTGTAATCAAACACATATGAATGTGCCAATCTGAGGGGAAAGTTCCTGTTTCCATCCATTCAAAAAGTCTTGGATTCCTAAAGATGTGAGCATCATACATCTTCCTGACCAACATTGTCAGTGAAATATCCACAGTGATCCACCAGCACTTACATAACCATTGAAAAGTACCCCTTTCTAGGGCATGGTTAAACCAGCAAAGTTTAATCCAGCTCTCTGCAACAAAGGGGGAATAAATGAAAGCAATTTAAGAAGATAAAAAGAGGCAGCCAGTCTGAATCCACAGATCTGTGACATAAATATGAACCCATGAAGCCAGCTTTGAAAAGAAAAAGAGAAGACTGAAGAGAACTTGCAGATCCCAGCCCCAGAGAGCAGTTTCAGCGGGAGAATGTCCAGCAACAGAATCCAGTACCACCAGCCTGCAGAACATATTAAAAATGACTCTGCAAGCTTAGAGATGCTGAACTGGACCCTCATTATCCTGCAAAGAGAGGGTGGGTGAATGCAATGAAGTTAAAAAAATTATTAAAATTGTACTATTGTGGCTGGGGGGAGTAAGTATGGCAGCAGCCATTTGGAAAGGTCAGACAAACAAAGGGCAGGTGTGGCAGCAGCCATCCTGAGAAGGACTCAACAAGAAAAAAAGGAACGACAAGAAGATCTGGATGTTCGGGAAAGGAAAGAAATCTTCCAATACAAAGATCAGTCATCTTCCCTCCCTGCCCCCCCAAAAACCCAAAGACATGGTGTCATAAATATAAAGGGAAGGGTAAACACCTTTAAAATCCCTCCTGGCCAGAGGAAAAACCCTTTCACCTGTAAAGGGTTAAGAAGCTAAGATAGCCTCGCTGGCACCTGACCAAAATGACCAATGAGGAGACAAGATACTTTCAAAAGCTGGGGGGAGGGAGAAACAAAGGGTCTCAGTCTGTCTGTGTGATGTTTTTGCCGGCGACAGAACAGGAATGGAGTATTAGAAGTCAGTAAGTAATCTAGCTAGAGATGCCTTAGATTATGATTTCTTTAAATGGCTGAAGAAATAAGCTGTGCTGAAAGGAATGGATATTCCGGTCTTTGTGTCTTTTTTGTAACTTAAGGTTTTGCCTAGAGAGATTCTCTATGTTTTGAATCTAATTACCCTGTAAGGTATTTACTATCCTGATTTTACAGAGGTGATTCTTTTTACTTCTATTAAAATTCTTCTTTTCAGAAACTGAATGCTTTTTCATTGTTCTTAAGATCCAAGGGTTTGGGACTGTGGTCTTCTATGCAAACTGATGAGGATTTTTACCAAACCTTCCCCAGGAAGTGCGATGCAAGGGTTGGGAGGATTTTGTGGGGAGAGACGTTTCCAAACAACTCTTTCCCAGTAACCGGTTAAACGTTTAGTGGTGGCAGCGAAAGTCCAAGGGCAAAGGGTAAAATAGTTTGTACCTTGGGGAAGTTTTAACCTAAGCTGGTAAAAGTAAGCTTAGGAGGTTTTCATGCAGGTCCCCACATCTGTACCCTAGAGTTCAGAGTGGGGAAGGAACCTTGACCCATGGCCATGAAAGAGAGTGACTTCCCCTCCAGCAAACAAACTAGTGGATGGAGAATCACAAGTCACTAAGACTGGCCTGAAAGATCTACTGTTAAAAATCGAAAAGATGAATAAGATGATGAAGAATGAGTTCCATCCAGCCCATCCCCCCTGGTTCCAGGCTTACATTAAAGATAAAAAAATTAAATTAATGAGATTAATTATCACATGTGGAAAATATCACATGTGGAAACAGGATAAAATGAGCCATCGGACAGCATGATTAATCTAGATGAAAGAATCCAAATAATTGAAAAAGGAGAAAAAGAAATAGAATTACAGCTGGAATATATGGAAAATAGAGACCACATGAATAACATAAGGATTAAAGATATTACAAAGGAAACTGAAGGGAGAACTCTGCTGAATGTACTGGATGATATTGTCCATGAGATACTAAAACTGGGAAATAAAGATTCCATTCATACTGAACAGGCTGACAGATCCCTTTTCCCCAGGGCCTCAGCTGGCTCCTGACCAAGAAGTGTGATAATTTATCTACACTACTATCAAGACAAGGGTAAAATACTGAGGGCAATGAAGAGAGAGCTGAACCATTAATAATGATTATTCTTACCCACCCCATACAAATTTTCCCAGAGCTGGAAACCTCATCCCTTAAAAAGCAAAGAGAACATCACCACAATTCTTAGAAAGAATAATATAAGATACAAATAGAGGTTAGACTGTCCTTTCAATGGAAGGAAAGATATATGTCTATCTCAGATCCAAATGAAGGGAAACAGGTACTTCTGAACATGAGAATACGCAAATCAGCTCAAGAACAATCTGAATGGGATCAAGGGCATCAGTCCTACAGGTCACCAAGAAATCACTGGGAAGCAGTGAGATCAGAGAGAGCCAGAACACCTCAAAAAGATGCATCATTAAGACAACAGGACAATCATGAGAATAGAAGAAACAGTCCTGATCCAAAAGAATAAGATTAGTATATGGGCTACAACATTATAATAGATAATGGATATTATATCCATGAGTTTATAATGATAAAGGGGTATTATAAGATGGGAACTGGGCTGTGTAGCTTGGAGGATATTTTACTCTACATGGATACAGTATACTTACTGGGTAAATATTATAGTTAATTGAATTTGTGATTTATATTATGAAAAAAATTAGTAACAAATTAGGAGACCCAGATCTCCTCAAGTGAAGCAAGTTTGATTTTAGAGTTGTCATAAACATTCCAAAATTTATATAAACTGGAGAAGGGTCACCTATGGTGGAAAATTTTAAGAATATATGAACTCAGAGATGGTATAATAATCTCATAATGCCCTATGTTATAAAGATGTTTAATAAGATTAGATAAAGCTTGGTTCTTAAGAATATATAAAAAGACACCTCCCCAACACAACAGGGTACTAACATGTCCATGAAGGAAGTAAGATGAGCTCAGGCTTCCACAGTTAGAGGGGACATAGTGACAATGGAGCAGTGCACAGGAAGGGAAACAAGAAATCAGAAACAGATGATAAATATTGTTACATGTTTTAATATAAAAGAGTATATTAACATAAAATGTTAGGGCACAGAATTTTAAAATTTACAGTAAATCAGACTTAGGGTCAGGGCACAACAATATAGGTGTTAAAGAAAGGAAAAACAATATATGTGGTAGCATTAAAATTATTGTGTATATGATGGGTACTATATCTAAAATAGTATAGTATATTTAAAATGTCTTATTTAAAGAAGAGGAGTAAATGTAACGGAGACCTGGCATCTAGCTGGAGGG